GAGTAGCGCTAATTAGCCTCGTTCCTTTACAACCAACACCAGTACAACACGTTGGATCAGGCTAATTAGAGAAAAAAGGAGGAAGGGTCAAAACAGGGAACTCTGAAAAGTTGCGTATAAAGGAAGCACATCAAGCACATGTGTTCTTGCCATGCTAATCAACAAGTTACGCGCCAAAGCACAAGGCAGTAACAGGAATCAAAAGCTTGTTGCTCACCTTTAAATTTCCAGTACTTTAAAGGATGATTCCACTCAAAAACATATTCCAATTGGGATCCAGCTCTTAATCTTGTGAATGTGTCCCATCCAGCACTCTGTGCATCACATATCCAAACCTGCCTGCAGCCAGGAGAGAAAATTCCTCCCTGAGAATCCAACTGCACCTTGTTAACCCTTTCCTCCTGTAGCCCGAGGAAAGCCCCCTCCAGTGCCTGCGTGTGCAATAGAGGAGGTGCAGCAGTAGTAGTAGTAGTAGTAGCAGAATAAGGTGGGATGGATGCGGGGAGTAGGAGGGGAGGGGTGCTGGCTGGCGGCTCACATCATGAGAGAAGTCGTAATCTGCGCATCGGCGTGCTCTCAGCGAGGGAATAGAGCCACCAGAGAAGAAGATGATGATAAGAAAGAAGGAAAGGAGGAGGAGAGAGACACGAAGGCAGGCAGTGGTGAATGAGCGGAGGATGCGAGCTCCCTCCCCTCACACTGCTGAGTCTCTCCCTCTCTCCTACACACACATTCATGCACACACTCCTACCCCCTGCCCTGATACAGATTGCATTGCACTGATGAAATTTTAATGGTTCTTTTAGGAAGAATAATGAACATGCTAGTCCCTGGAGTTGTGTGTATGTGTGTGTGTGTGGGGGGGGCTTTACACTACACACACCTACAGAGGCATGCAACAAACATGTGCATACACATCATACAAGTGTGTTTTTCTCCCTATCTAGTTCCCTCTTTTTACGCACGTTCACCAGAGCATACTCCCACTCACACACCGCAATCCTGCACAGATTCACTTACACACTCCCCCCTTTCTTCATTTGCACACCACATACTGAAACACACAGACGTACACGTGCCATGCGGGCTCACACTCAACAACATCAAACACCGCTACTGACACACGCACGCTCCCGTCTCACAGGGAAGACGGGGTGGGGGAGTAAACAGAGAGATCCAACCCATCCTCAAAATGCTCTCTTGGTGCACACTTGCATCCACACACACAAACACACACACACACACACACACACACACACACATACACACAGGCACACATGAGCACACACCCCAATGAAGTGGAACAAAGAGCACAGAGGCAGCATGTGGATGCACCAGTAGGAACACCATGATGGGAGGAGAGGAGTGAAGTGCGCCAGAAAACACACTACCTTCAAAGTACCTTAAGTCTACTACAGTACAGTGTAGAGTAGAGTAGAGTGCAGTAGGGTAGGGTGAAATAAATAATAAAACTAATCAAATTCAAAAGAAAATAATTTTAATTTAATTAATTTTAGTTGTATGTATCATCAATTAATCACACAGTTATACTTTATGAATATTACTTGTAATGAATTTTGAGTGGAAATTTAAACAGTAAAATTTTATTAACATAAAGGGAGAGTCATATTCAAGTCTTGTCAACTTCTTTCTAACTGCCCAGTTAGTTTCTTGACCAAATAAATGCACAGAAACAGCTGTAAACTGGGATGTATCCACTTAAATAACAAAAAACTGCTGAGATTTGGTTGAAAAGACTGAATTCCACGTGTTTTTAATCTGATTTCAATACAAAAAAATGCCTGTTATAACATTTTTTTTAACAAATGATCCTCATATGAAGACAGTCCTTTATTATTAATTCGTCCTAATCAATTATAGAGTTGTTCAAGTACCAGTATCACAAATGCTTTAGATACTGCCTAAAATGCTGAATCGAGTATCGGCGAGTATGCCAGTCTATGCACTGATCTGATGATCCATGTAATTTACTGACAAACTTTAAAGTCGTTTTTACGCCCACATTAACAGTTTTTGAATAGTAGTTAGCCGTTAGCAGAATGTCAGACATTTTGCAATATTTTACTATGCAAAGTCCCTCCAGTTTAGGCTTTAACCTGAGCTATGCCATGCAACAATTATAGCGTTCATTTTACATTCATGCAGGGCTGATAGTAAACAGCTGCTTTTTTCTTAAGCAACGGTATTGTATCAGGACACTGTATCAGCCATTACACAAGTTCAGGTATTAGGACAGAAAAATGGTATCGGAACACCTGTAATTAATTGTTAACTCTAAAAAATGTAAAAACAAAATAGTGAAAAATTCTTATATAGTTTCCCAGAACCCAAGTTGGCATGTTTGCCATTGCTTTGTTTGTCCAACCAACAGTCCAAAACCTAAAGATACTCAGTTCACAATCATATAAAACAGAGAAGGAAGCTAATCTGTGTGGAAAGGCTGATTTGAGTAACTGGTTGGAGATTCTGTTTGACAAATAACGTAACCGATCAATCATTTCTTTACAGTAGCTACCTAATTAAGCCTCTACCCATCTCATCTCCTACATTTGGAGTGCCAGACTGGTGATGTTGTCCCAAGTAACACCAGCTGACATTTGCATTTTAAAGAGAATAAAATGTCCTGAAATTCTTCAGGATCAAAATGGATTGCAACGCTGCACTTTTGTGTTTTTGACTTATTAGCGCTGTTGTGCGTTGTTTTTCTAATCAATAAATCTGCCATATAACTATGTTAAAAAACTCCCAGCATTCCAAGTTGCTCTCCATGATCTACAATCAAAGCCCTAAAAAGGTGGTTTCTCAATAACATTAAATAGTCTGACTAAATAATAAAAAAAAAAAAAACTCCTTACATATTACGTAATAAGAGTTTACACTCATAAACTCAGCTGATCTGCCTCTTCATGACTGTGTGGGTGTGCTTTGATCAGATTTGACTGACAATATCCTGGCTGCATAAAACAAACAACCCATCAGATGTCAAATGTTGCTACATTGTGTTTGCTGTGTGAAAGTATGTGACAGAAAAAACACAAATATAGAAATCAATCAGGGGAAATGAGCAACTGACTTTAGCAGAAAGTGTTCATATATCACCACATAGTTCATAAAAAGCTGATTGTGAGATTATATTTTCAGGGCTTTTAAAATTAAACCTCTATCCTATTGATCCAGCTTTCACTTCCTCCATATCTAAGCTAAAGAGAGGTAACACAAGCAAACTAGCAGCCAGACTCATGACTGGTAGGGAGACTGTCTTGCCCTAAATTGAGCTTCTCAAGTGTTACTTTCTCTCAGGTGTTAGGAGACTGGTGGAGCTCCTGTGACTAAGCGTGACCTGTAAGGGGCAATTCAGGACAAAAAAGTCCCTAAATTTGTGACCAGGGTCTGCAGTCCCTTGCTTTTTATATTAATGTGTTGGTAATATTGCCATCTGTGTGCTGTAGTATAATAAAACACTCAATCATCATTGCTGCAATGCTTTTATAATCTACTATTAAGAAATGTTGATTAGCTTATTGGGCTGCAGCTGTTCTGGCTGACAGTGATAATAAAGTCTGTTAAAAACAGAGCCAGCAAAGTGGAGGCAACACTTTTTACACTATGTTTACATTTCCATGCATCATAATCAAGCATTAAGCCAACAGTTTGACAATTAGCTGGCCGGCACATTTGAGATTTGCAGTCGCTGATCAACAAAAACAGAAGGATTCTACACATCCTTGCTTCCAGTGTTATTACTCAACTGTATGGGCAATATCAGCTTCAACCATACAGGTTAAAAGGTTCTGAAGGCCATAATCAGCCCTGTAAATGGCCGTTATTAGTTGTCATTAGGAGCATAGATTTGAGGGAGTATGGCCCTATTCTACCTCTTACATTTAAGTTAATTATTGGGCAGCAACCCCTATGATGGCTGCTGTAATTATGATGGGAGCAGAGGAGAAAGTCGGGTGACATAGTAAAAAAAGAGCGACAATTTCTGTGAAGAGAGAAGTTCATGCTAATAGATGGGTGAAACAAACACAGGACTTTCTCCTGGGAGACTGCTGTTTGTGTCTCATGGAAAACCAAAAGTCAATGTTGATGTAACGTACTTAACTTATTTTAACCTAAACCAAAACCATCCCTTAACCTAACAACATAGTTTTGGTGCCTAAAACAAACCAAAGTGACAGTAAAACCTAATGAAACTGGGGCTGTTTCACAATGTGATATGCACCTTCTGACCTACTGATAGGGGCAGTTTGCCCTGTTTGAAGCATTATAATGGTAATGATATTAACTGATAGCCGCCATTGAATGGGCTGATAACACTAGCAGATCTCATACAGATTCCATGCAATATAATCCTGTTTTTTGCATACTTATGCTGGGTTCACACTGGACAATGAAGCATCACAAAGTGTGCTGATTTATGAACTTATTTTAACCCAAGCCACAATCATTCTCTCAATTGAACAACATTGTTTTGGCACCTAGAACTCACCGAAAGGAAAGTCAAACCTAACAAAACTAGGGCTGTTTTACAACATGGGATGCACCTCCTGGCCTACTGGTAGGTGTAGTTTGCCCTGTCTGAAGCATTATAATGGTTATGATAACAACTGATAGTAGTCATCAAATGGGCAAATAACATTCAAAATGAATGCCTTGAATGAAAACCTTCACCATGGATCTCACCACAGATTCCCTGCAATGTAAGCCTGTTCATTTAAGATTTAGTGTTTTTGAAAGGCCATCACACAATTAAATCAGCTTATACAGACCCAGGCCAATCCTAAACCTGAGTAGTTTAAAGATGATACTGACTTCAAAGTCAAGAAGCACAAGGTCACACCTCCAATCTGAATCTGACCAGCAACAGAAACGTTCCCAAGAACCTCTGGCATATAACAGGACAAGGAGTCAAGAGTCAGGTCACAGATCTAAAATGCCAGGGAGACAGATAAATGGGTGAAGGGGGTTGAACTTACATCAAACCAGGATTCCTCTGGCTCCTTCACTGCTCCTCCACTGACCACATACCAGTATTCATCACAGTAGTCAGCAGAGCTAAAACAATCCTGCAAAGAGAGGAGACAAAAAGAGATTTGTTCAAGTTTCATCTCGGTTGTAGATCAAAAATACAAATGTGATCATCATCTCAGTGAAGTCAGAGTCAAGTCTCTCATTCTGGATAGAATAAAGAATTGTGTGGCTATCAGGGGAAAGTGGTTTTAAGTCCTCATACATAGACAGCTTAAGATGTTTAATACTGCAGATTCTGGAAGTGATTTGTTCAACCACATCCACTTTAATGCCGACTGCTACCTCCTGCAGCTCAGAGTGGTCCCCCCAAAAATCCCAGCAGGAATTTAACACAGTGTGACCGAAAGTTTACCCGCTTCAGCAGGACATTAAAGAGACTTTGAGCGCAAAAACTGTTTTCTGGAAAGTTTTCTCCACATGAAAAAAAATCCAATAAACTCTGAGTCAACTCTCTTCGGCTGTGGAAATTGTTCTCATCCCTCATATTCCCCACCAAGGTGCAGCATCCTACCTCTCAACCGTTCCCGAAAAATCAATTACCTGTGAGGATTATACACCTCTATCCCCCGAAAACAGTGGTGAAAACGAAGAATGATAATTTAAATCTTCAGTTTTAAAGGCCACTTTCATTCTCCTCCAACACAGCAACTCCCGAGAGGCCGAGGTCGAGTTTACACACAATGTCAGGGAGACGGAGTGTTCAGAATGTGCCTCTTGGTCTCACAAACACGCAGAGCCACTTTAGAGGTTTTTTTTTTTTTTACTGAAACAACACTACACTTGAGAATCCGGGAGAAAACAAGCCAGTCGAGTCTTTAAGGAGGCTGTTTGAGGTCTGTCAATAATGATGGGAATACCGAGGAGAGAAGGCTTGAAAGGCACTTAATAGCCAAGCAGGGGTTTGATGGGAACAGCCACGATGTGTGACATGTGAGTCGTCCTCTATCCTGGGATACAGAAACAACAGCTTACAAGGTTAAAGCTGTCTAGAGACTGGATGTGCCTCACTGGAGGAGTTTCATGCAAAGATATTTGAAAAAGAAACAATGCCTACTCTTGAAAATGCCATACAGCTCAATATTAAAAAAAGACATGCTACATTAAGGGCTGTCGGTAGGTTGAGCAGAGGTCTGATTGGAAGCTTCATGATGTACTGTCTGACATGTAAGCATTTCTGTTCCTTCTGGGATGCAAAAAAAAGCACAAACACATCTTAATAAAGTGAAGGCTGTCTGGAGCAAAGAAATGTGTCACAATCGGGTAAGATCATAAACAACAGGTAATACTCTCCCTGGTGGATGCTCTGCCCAGATGTCAACAAGCATTGAATTCATGAGATGTGTTAAAACAGTAAAATGTGTGAAAATTCTCATGCAAATTGGGTAATTTCTTGCATTGAACAAGATGCTGTTTGGCAGCCAACAGAGAGAAAACAAAATAAGTGTTCTCAGTGATAAATTACCCCTCTCAAAAATGTTACGTTCGAAGCAAACCGGAAGGAAAAGCTGTCTGGAAGGTAAGAAATAAATCTAAAAACAGTATGCTTTGGAACTGGTCAGCATTAATGTAAAGAATATGCAAGTTATAGTAGATGAGTCCTAATAGGGCGGGGTGGTATGACAAAATTTTCATATCACGGTTTTAAGAAAAAATCATATCGGTTTCACGGTATTTCACGGTATTTTGCTCAGGTTCGGCCAACTTGACATGCTGCTGTGTTGTGCTATGGCCTATTCAAGTGCCGAAATTTGTTATTTACCTGACAACGCCTGAACACAACACACACTCCGCTCCATTCATTTGGGCTCCACTGACTGCGTACGGAGAGAAGCCAGCGGGGTTGTTTACCGTTTGCCGAGCCGAGAGGCTGCATGTAGGCTGCATAAAATGTTAAAGCATTTTCCACCTAAGTTATTAAATATATTTGAGTTATCTACAAGTTTACTGTACTGTTTGTCATCTACTCGCTTTCAAATGTCCGCCACGGACATTTACACAATGTCACGGATAAACATGGGTAAATGCATGAAAAAAAAATCATCACATATCACCTCTGATAATGGTTTATTCATTTAAAAACACATTGTGCTCTTTTAGCACACTATTTCATGTAGTTTTTATCTGCTGGAGGGTCGCGTAGAGGAGCATAGCGCGACAAAAATAGAAGAGCCGCGTAAAATAGAGTTGTTGAGCGACAGACGGTGGTTGTCGCGCCGCTCCCGTTGCCGGTGGAGCCGCTGTAATTGATTAACCGAGGGGGCGAGCTGCTACGGGACTTGCGCTGCAGACGTGTCGCGCCGCTGACGTGCCCGGTGGAGCCTGGCCATAACTGTCTCGGACTCGGGACGGGTTGTCTTCGGTCAGGAAAATGCCTGTCTGTGTGTGTGCGCTTTGTCTGTGTGTGTGTGTGTGTGTGTGTGTGTGTGTGCGCGCGATACAGAGGGCAGAGGAGAATTGTAAACAGCGGTGTGCCGCTGCTAGTTGCATATAGGGGAAACACTGCTCTTTTTGATATGAGTTCTTCTGGGTCATCGTGTACAGTTGCTTTGCTTTCAGGACTCTCTCCAGCAGCCATTCTCGCCTCTAAACTTTTCTATGCTCTCACTCTCACCCGCTCAAGCGTGCCTGTGGTGTGCAGCGGTGAAATGGGTCCCCGCTGAAACACTTTCCCGCCGCGCACATTCTGGACATTGTTTGGGCTGTTCACCTGTATTGCGGTATATGAAAAATTCATATCATAACGAAAATAAATACCGGTTTTCGGTACAAACCAGTATACCGCCCAGCCCTAAGTCCTAAAATACAAAACCACAGGTATTGTCCTAAAAACTAATTCAAGTCATGACAGCAAACACAACCCCTTAAACTAGCACCACCATCCCTGATGGACAGTGTTTAACTGCTGAGAAAAGAGGCAGATCCAATGAACAAGTTGCTGCAGGAAGTGACCTTTTCCTTCACTATCATTACTGCCCGTCCCCTGGCTTCCTGGTTTAGTGACCATGATGGAGGACATTTGAAGAGACGCCAAATTGAAATCGGTTACGGGTGAGCTGAGGTGTGTGTTCAAAGATAAGGGTTTCAACAGCTAAGAGAAATATGTGGGGTCCTTCCTGCAGGGCGATTAATGGCATTAGCAGTGGAGCTCTTCTCACTCCGTCTGGCTCTCTCCCTCTCTCTCTGCCCAGGTGCAGTTTGGTTTTATACCACCACGTTTATGAGGGATCGTAATGGGTGGGTGCAGCTCAAAACAAACGGGAGGCCAATTAAATGTAAGGGCTTCCCGGGCAGGTCGCCAATAACAGGGCCAACAACTCGTTTTATACACAGCTCTCAGAGGAGGAGCACTGGATATTATTTCCTGAATGCAAACAAGGGATTTTTTGTCTTTGTTTTAGTCCAAAAAAATGGATGAGTGATGTGGATAATATACTGGTATATGTTCATTTATTGTGGAATATTAATGTGCATCACAATATAGTAAATTTGCTGAAAAAATACTGATAAACTCTCTATGAATAAAGGGCTGATTGTTAGTGGCTAATCCAGCCAATTTCATACTGCGATAATGATATAAAAATCCCATATTGCAATAAAACAATCCTGCTCATTGATTTTTACCTCAATGGCCTAACACATTAAGGTACAGCTAGCTTGGCATAAACGCTAAGACAATATTTGTGAAAGCTGACTGATCAAAAATTTCACAGCTAGGTATTTTCCGATCCTAATTTGCTAACTGACCAATCAAAAATCCATGTCAAACTTCCAACAATCAATTTTATATTAACAATAAATTAAATGACGATGTGAAATATAACAGAACTCACTTGCAGTGAAGAACCCACAAAGTTTTATCCCCCAACTCTGCAGTTTTTTACAGCCTTTTGTAACTTATTGTAACCCTAACCCTAACCCTACAGCACATTTACTGTATAGATCAATTCTCATTAACCTTGTTTCAGCAGCAACAGGGAGTCAATTTCAGCTAAACAAGGCTATGAGTCTACAGTCATTCTAGTGTCTCTGTTAGACTCTCAGAGGCAATTCTGTTACTGAAATGCTATTTGCTAAATAACACTTAACACAGCGTACAGCTGAGGCTGATAGAATTATCATTAGTTTGCAGGTATTTGGTCATAAGGCAAAGTATCAGACAAGTTGAAATATTTACCAGATAATGGAACGACAGGGAAAGTGATAGGAATACCAAAATTATTACAAGTCAAGTTATTACAAGTCAATTAATAGTCTGGACCAATTTCATGACAATTTATTCAATAGCTGTTCAGTTATTTCAGTCTGGACCAACCGACAATTGCTAAACCTAGAATGATGCTGCTAGCATGGTGAAAAAAAGTTGCCGGAAGGCAGCCACCGGCAACTTCTAAGGTGGAATGTTTTCCTGCACGTTACTCAATCAACACACCTCAAATGGCAATATAATACGGATTCCCTAAAGTTCTGAAAGGTGATAAGATCATTTTTATCTTGTGGGAACAAGTTATTTTGTGCACACAAGGTAAAAACACTATCACCATTTGGGACTTCAGGGGCTACGTAATATAATAACTTTGACCATTGCATTTCTTTTTGCAGTCTCTCTTGCATATCATATGCTTTAGTGATGTGTAAACTGTAAAGATTATATTTTATTTGAGGGAAAAAAGTGGAGCATCATTCTGGTGTACTGCAGCAGCACTACACCCTTGCCCCAGACAGACAAATGTTAGCCACAAGCTAGTGAGCTAGCTTAAGTTCCAATATTTTTTTCTTAAAAGTATATGTAAACCAAACCAAATCTAAAAGGAGAGAGAGTTTCAGAGTTATTTTGCTGTCAAGTACACAAAAAGATTAATACATTATTTTAAGTACAAAGGCAAGGCAGTTATTATAGCAGTGTGAGCAGAGTGTTGTTGTGAATATGAAGGCTTTTCTTTGTGAGAAGCTTGTTTGACACTGAACCTTGTCATATCCATGGAGAGGGCTGTTGTTCAAAAATCAACCTTGACATCAAAAAGCTAAATTTCTCCGT